AACATACTGCACATGGCAAAACTTAATTAACCTCAGAGCCCTTTTTAAAACTTATAGCTTCATGACATACAGTACTTGACACACATTTGGAACAAGTCAATGCTGGACTTCTTATTGAAGTACAAGTTATATTACTGTAAAACAAGCAAGCCCTAAAGAAAAACAGACAAAACATTAAGTCAATTAATGATTAAGACAATTTTGCTGTTGTCAACTATAGATTCCCACAGTTTTACTGAAACATACTACATTAATCAAAAAGCACAGAAAATTGCAACCCCATTTAGATTTAGTTTGTACCTTTTTCTATATTTTTTCAACTCCCTTTGAAGTTTCTACTTGTTAATTTGCTCATGAAATCACCGATTTGTCTGGCAGATAACTCATTTTTAAAATATGGCCTCCTGTTTTTCTATTTGCTATACAATCTCCTCGGCAGGTAAGTCATACTATATTTCCCCAAGACATGTATGGTAAATACACAGATTGCAGCTAAAATGTTTAATATTTAGGTAGCTCCTAGTGTCACACCCAGTGCTATTCCGAATCCTCCGCACAGTCTCGCCCCAATCAAGCACCAGCTGGAGTCAATCCCCACAAACCAGACCCAATCAGGACAGCGCACTGGTTACCGCACCCTCCACATCCGGACATATTTAAACCCTCTCCCATTCTCATCTCATTGCTCAGTTTTAGTAACTCCTCGCTTCACCTCTCATTACTAGTAGCCTTGAATTCAGAACCCATCCTCGACTTCATTTCTTGTCTAGTGATTTGGCTTTGGTAGTACTGATAATACAGTTCACATCTTTTCTAACCTGTGTCCAGAACTCTCTAATGGGTTCATTATACTGCATCAGCACTGCATGCCGTTACACCTTGGTTTTAAAAGTAGGGCCGATTTCAAGATATTATACATATACATTATATATACACACTATATATATATACTTTTGTGATATTTGAGTACACAATCTGACATGATTTTGGAAATAAAATTGTAATTTGAGAAATGTGAAATTTTGAATAATTATTGAAGTAAAGTTCATTCCA